ATTTATAAGCTTTTTAAAATTTCTAATTAAAACAACAGAATAAAATCAAGCAGAATAAGAATAAGTTACCAATCAAATAAAATCAGTATTAAAAAAAATAATTTGTACCACAGAGGTGGCACAGAAGAACACAAAAGTGGCTTGTAGGTATATTTTCAGATGTTTAACGAAGCTCAGAGGTGGCATGAGTGGAATTAAATTCATGTTGAGGTTAATATTTTAAATCTAAATGTTTTAATATAGAAATATTAAACGAATTAAATAACAGAAAAAATCCTTTAAAAATGAAAGTAAAACTGCCAGCAGGTGGCAGCAAATCATTGAGTTTATCACTGAATCATTCATTCAATTGATTAGTTCAAACATCTAATTCATTCAGGAATGAAGCAAGTGACTGGCTTTATGAATGGGTAATTGATTCAGATTTGTTTAAAAACACACGTTCATTCATAAACGAAACACCGCTGTGTTTGCTTGGAAATGCGCAGCGGCTCAGCTGTGACTTTGTTTGAAACTATTTTCATTGATGAAATAGAGCAAAATCAGGCAATAGTGTTGTAGTCAGACAAAGCAAGTCACTTAATATTAATTTCTTGTTTAATGAACTGTTGTATTAAATCAATATCACATTTGCAAACTCCCTTAATAATCATTAAAAGCTGTTACTCACTCATCGCGATCTCACAAAGTTCCATTATAATCGACAAAGCTCCATATATTTGTTTTCAAGTACTTTCCAGGCCTTGAATCCATGCGTCTGATATTCAAGTACTTTCAAGAAGAGTGGGAACCCTGCATACACATCGCACACCCCTATACTGTTTAGATTTTTATAATGCATTGTCTTATTATCGATCTACCAGTTCACATTTAAAGCACTGCGTGTTTGTAGGGTAAAAACATGGGTCGATTTTTGCATTTGTCTGAACTCTGAACAAAACAACAGTTTTATTGAAAATGCTCGTTCATTCTCTGCCAGCAGGTGACGCTTTTGGCAGACCTATAACTATTTCCCCCGTAACTGCTGTACACGAAGCAGCACAGCACCGGACTTTGAACCTGCAGTGCTCATGAAATCATAGCCTTTTGAAGTTTAATCGTCACATTCAGCATATCGCAATTCTGGTCTTACCGTCCCCAAATTTAAGACCTCTTGAAATCATAATTAAGACTTTCTTGTGCAATTTAAGACTTTTTAAGGCCTTAAATTTGATACAACTAAATTTAAGACTTTTTAAGACCCCGGAAACCCTGTTTTAAGTAGATTCATTAAAAACCTCCAAAAATGACCACAAACACTAGATGTACGACAAAAGTTATCAATACAGAATATTTACCTTGATATAGTAATTGTTCAGATTCTTCAAATCATTGCTAGCACATTATTAATATCTTGAAGTCTGAAGTAAATTGTTTTTGTCATAATTATCAACAATGTATTTTAAATAGAATGTGCTAATCATTGCTTGCCACACATCTTAAATTCAAATGCAGTTTGTGCTTTCAAATGTCCATTTTCTACCTTAAAAGAACATTTTTTGATGTTCAAGTTTTAACGTCACAGACAGGTCTGAGACACGTGCTAAGTATATGTGAGTGTGTCTACTTACATTATCTCCGATTCGCAGGTACAGCTGCTGCAGAATGAGCAGGTCTCTGCAGATCAGAGTTCGGGTCATAGCGATCTGACACACAGCTTGACAGATCAGACTAGCGGCCACACTGCTGCCGTAGAGTTGAGAGAGGCTAATGCGCACTCTCAGAGACTGACCTACAACAAACACCACATCAGTGCTGATCAGGGCAAGAGCCCAAACATGTATTTGAAAAAAAAGAGGGTTATCCTTTAATACTCCCGCGAAGGAAAAAATAATAAACGAATACACAAAAGAATAATCTTTCCACCGTTTACATACAACAACAGCAGACTGTAAGCAGGGGCTATTCATCTTCAAAAAAAGATCACAAACACTAAAAAGTAATTGCCAATTATTTCCTTTGGTAATGTAATTGTGATTATACATATGTATTAATATTTAATATATTACAAATATAGTTTAAATACATACTCGTTTTTATAAATAGAACTTTGCATAAAATACTTTTTTGTGCAGCATGTCTTATCCAGACATCCAGAACAAAATGTTATTGAATTACTTTACTGCTATTTTTTAACAAAGTAAATCAAGGCCTAAAGGGGCCATCTTCACTATCAATATATTATAATATGTAGCAATTTTGAACCAAGATATTGCCATAGATAAGAATGGATTCAGAAAAATTATCATGATTTTTGGGCAAAGTACTCTTTTACACATCTCAAGATCATTCACCGCAGAACACTTAAAAAGGTGTTTATAAAGGTGTACCAGTGTGTCTGGAGTCCGTCTCTGCATCAGTCTCCAGGTCCAGTTCTCTCAGCAGCATGTTTATTGCAACAATGGGGTTATTGATGTCTTGCAGTTTGTTTGTAATGTCCTGAATCACATTCCCACTAGAGAAGATATTTCACTTTAGACATCAAACTGATCAGTTACTGGTGTGACTGCATTAAATCAGTCATTCAAGGGATACTGACTTGTCACTGGCCAGAAGACCCTCCAGTACTTTTTCTGACACTTTCTCTGGAGACAGCAGGTCCTCAAGGGCTTTCTCCATCTCATAGGCCATGTCCTCCGGAAGAGACTCGTTCACCATGCGGAGACACTGAACGAGCTGCAGGACGTCACGGCTCATTTCTGAATCTAATAAAAGACCACCACTAATGACTGCTGATACAGCTGGATTACTTCATGTCAACAGTGGCTGGTTGTCTTACTAAGTGGGCAGATCATGGCATTAAAAAGTTGCAGAGTGGATCAGACTTTATAAAACAAGCAGTCTCTCAAGACATTGTCCTCTTACCCTCAGCAATTGGAGTCTCCTCTTCAGAAATCAGGTAATCATCCGAGGACAGGTAAAGATGGTCAATAGCAAAGCAGGGTAGTAGGAAAGACACAAAGCCCTAGGAAAGTAGAGTAAAAAGATTAGCCATCAACCGCTTTATCACCAAGGCTGATATTTGACATTTTTTAATTACTGTCATCTGCCTGTAGGTTTTTGGTCTGTTTGACTGGTGAGAGCTGAAAATGGGACTTTTATTTTGATGGTACCGATAACCACATCACAGCAGCTCATGACATTTAATTCACTCCCAAGTTTTCAGCTCTCACTCTTTTTTCACTGTCAGGTCTAATAATAAGAAGGCACAGACTATAATAAAACATCTCATATTTGTCATTCAAAAAAATATGAATTTACGGCATTTAAACAATTCTTTGACTATCTACATTTACATTTAGTCATTTAGCAGATGCTTTTATCCAAAGCGACTTACGCAGAGTGGATCAGACTTTATAAAACAAGCAGTCTCTCAAGACATTGTCCTCTTACCCTCAGCAATTGGAGTCTCCTCTTCAGAAATCAGGTAATCATCCGAGGACAGGTAAAGATGGTCAATAGCAAAGCAGGGTAGTAGGAAAGACACAAAGCCCTAGGAAAGTAGAGTAAAAAGATTAGCCATCAACCGCTTTATCACCAAGGCTGATATTTGACATTTTTTAATTACTGTCATCTGCCTGTAGGTTTTTGGTCTGTTTGACTGGTGAGAGCTGAAAATGGGACTTTTATTTTGATGGTACCGATAACCACATCACAGCAGCTCATGACATTTAATTCACTCCCAAGTTTTCAGCTCTCACTCTTTTTTCACTGTCAGGTCTAATAATAAGAAGGCACAGACTATAATAAAACATCTCATATTTGTCATTCAAAAAAATATGAATTTACGGCATTTAAACAATTCTTTGACTATCTACATTTACATTTAGTCATTTAGCAGATGCTTTTATCCAAAGCGACTTACAAATGAGGACAATAGAAGCAATCAAACCAACAAAAGAGCAAAAATATGTAAGTGCTTTGACAAGTCCTGGTTAGTCTAATGCAGTGCACGTAGCAAGGTTTTTCTTTTTAAATAATAAATAAAAAGAAAACAATTAGATAGAATAGAAAAAGAATAGAGAACGCTAGTGTTAGAGGGTTATTTTTTTATAATAAATAAAAAGAAAACAACTAGATAGAACTGAAATAGAATAGAGAGTGCTAGTGTTAGAGGGTCAAGTGTACATGGAAGAGATGTCTTTAGCTGTTTCTTGAAGATGGCTAAAGACTCAGCTGCTCGGATCAAGTTGGGCAGGGCATTCCACCAGCAGGGAACAGTTATAATAAAACCTAATTATAATAACGACAATATCTAATAAATATTTAATTCCATAAATATCGTAACACCTCAAAAATTTGTTTATTCTGCATTAGCGTACCAAGTTGATACTTAAATTAAAAAACGTAACGATAGCAGCCTTTCTGCTGTACCAGTTGTACAGAGTACCCACTGCTGCTTTCAAATGTTCACGTATTCGTGTGAGAGCTCTGTGAAGAGTGTAAAAGGTTTCTATTTACAACATGTTTTTGCAGCGTTGAGCATTGTAACTTATGGATGTTCATTTCGGTTATTTTTCCTAACCGACAACCGACGCTCGTTAACCGATTATTAACCGTTAACTGACAAGATTATTTTAAATTAGAATTTAATTAAATTAGAAAGGATAAGTGTCTGTGACCCGTTAAAAATACTAACATTTGTTTCCCGGGGATTAATTTTACATG